AGCCAAAAACTTCCGGGGGCTTTGCCGTGTGGGCCTCCACCAGGACTTTTCCCTCGACCCACTAAGGGCATTAAGCCCCCCCCCCCTCCCTTCGGCTATGATGCTTGTGTTTACAGGCTCGTTTTCAGTTATATGCTTCGAATTAATAAGGCTTTTTAATTATACAAAGTTGGTTTTGTTTTCTGATTGATTGATAGTATATTGTTTAACGTCCCTCTCGAGAATTTTTCACTCATATGGAGACGTCACCGTATGCCGGTGAAGGGCTTCAAATTTTGATCTTTACCAGTAAGGGATCTTTATCGTGCCAACGCCTGCCGCTGACATGGGGCCTCGGTTTTTAAGGGCTTATCCGAAGGACCCGCAACTTTCACTTCAAAGTGCCAAGTGTATGGCGAAGAAAAGTGGCTACCCATTTTTTATCGACTTCCGTCAGTCGCGGCCGAGATTCGAACTCACGACCTCCCGATCACGAAGCGAGCGCTTTGTTTTCTGAAGACAAGTGTTTTTATTGTAGGAATTTTAAATGTTGTAACAGTTTTATTGATTAGGTAACGAAAAATTCTGATTGTCGCTGCTTTCCAATGCCATCAACTATGTTAGAAATGCTCTCGACAACAAGTCATTCAATTTAGACCAACAATGGAAGGATATTTGTAAAGGAGTCTGTGAATGCGCAAAAAATCTAGTAAATCACCTCAGTGACATTGCCTGATTCCTTGGTTTGTACATTCTCTATCATTATAATACTGCTTGAATAATTATTTTGCTGACCGTTTAAAAAAATACCTGCGCTATGCTTTACTGCTTTACTATTTATATGTGATATTAGGACAAATTTTGTGTTACAGCGCACTTTGAAAAATTTTTTCAAAGTGTGTTTGGGACCAACTCAACGCACTTTGAAAAAATAAAATTTCTTTTCAAAGTGCGTTAATATCAACCATTTTAACGCACTTTGAAAAAAAATTGTATGACTTGGTCAATATTCTTGCACATCTTAGGTATGATAAATAATTGAATCTGTTGGATAACTTTCCGGTTCACCTCGGATGTAAAACTGAGCGATTTTGATTTTTCCATACTTTAATTGAAATTTCTTTCTCTCTTAAATGTTTTCCTGCACTTAAAATTTTCCAGGTTGCATGCATTTTATGTAAACTAAAATTTATTGAAAATTTCAACGCTAGACCAGTTATGCAAATACCTATATTTGGGTGTAACATAGGCATCGGTGCATGTACAGGAGGAGGGGGGCTAAAGTACACTGATGTTTTGCAAAGATTTACATAATATACCGATAAGCATAATAAATTGGGGCTTACCTTTAGGGGGTCCACTTTTCAATTTGTTACTGACGGTTATGTATAAAAAAAGAGCCCTTCTACTGGTCTTCTCCTTCTTCTCAATGAGGGTAAATCAATACTTGTAAATTTAAAAGTTTTTCGAAAGATTTTATAATTACAAATGATTCTCTCAATTATTAAAATCAAAGTCAAAAAAGATTTTTTGTTTCATGCATGTTTTTTTTTCAAAGTGCGTTGAATCTTCCCATGGTAAAACTGTTAATGTACACTCTTAACGCACTTTGAAAAAAAAATTTTCAAAGTGCATTGAGTGTGTCCTAAATTTAACGCAATTTGAAAAATTTTTTTCAAAGTGCGTTGATTTTGTCCAAATTTTAATGCACTCAGAAAATATTTTCCAAGTACATAGTTTTTTAAAGTGCCTTTCCACATGTTGAAGTGACTGTAAAAAATTATACTCTGTATCACATGGTAATTACTGTATACAGGGAAATTTTCGCCCCTTTCGCCCTATTTTCAGTTGGGCGAATATTAAACGGGGAGAATTAAAAGGACACAGTATAATTTCTTATATAAAACCGTGGCTGGGCGAATTCAAAACAGGCTGAAAAAGGGGCGAAAATTACACAGGGCGTAAATAACCCTGTATACAGTATTCGAAAAAATAATTTATTTTTCGATGAACTAACAAGGTAGAAGGATATACTAAGTCTCCTGTAAAATCATCTCCAGTTCTCGTGTCTTTGCTATTGTTAATCTTATTGCGGTAAGTTTAACTGGTTTCACAATATCGTATCTGAACTGTAGAAGTATACGACATAAAATGGTTAAAAACTACTTTGAATTTAACGATATTTTATGCTTAAAAATATATTACCGAGTAAGAAGGAGGGCAACTACATTAAATTTAACTTGCACTTCTTAATATAGATACCATTGACTTCCCTCCATAAGGAAATATCAATATTAATAAATGAAAAAGGAAAAGTAATCATAAAAGCATCCTATATTGGTACTCAAACGAGAGACATCGATTCAAAATAGGAATTTTTGACAGTTTTTCTGCATAAAATAGTGGATTACTTATATTGTTAGTAGTTGAATAGCTGTTGATGAATTAAAAATTACAAAAAATGAAAGATAAAGAAATTCTTTTGTTGAGTCTTGAAAAATAGATGTGGAAAGTATGGAATAGTTGTTTAGTTTTTTTCCGTGGTGAGAATGTTTATTTATTGTTTGTAAGTTGTTAACGTTCGTCCCGACATCACCATATGCCAGTGAACGGCTTCAAATTACGCTCGACGACCAGGGCCATTTAGGAACAGTGAGGACTAAACCTGTTACACGAACGATCCTTCACGCAAACGATTCTACACTTACACGATCTTACACGATTTTTAACGCAAACGCACGATTCTTCACTCAAAACTCACTTTTGGAGACTTTTGGAATTCCCATGGGTACAAATTGCGCCCCTTTATTAGCATACCTATCTTTGTATTCATATGAAGCAGAATTTATGCAAAATCTTATACATGTGTACGTAAAAGAAAACATTTGCTGTGGCCTTCAACTCGACATTAGATATATCGAAGACGTATTGTCAATTAATAATGATTATTTCCATTCCTACGTCGACACGATATATCCTGGTGAGCTTGAGATAAAAGATACAACAGAGTCCGACACTTCTGCTTCTTACTTGGATATTTTACTTGAAAAAGACACTAATGGTAATCTAACAACCAAGCTATATGATAAACGTGATGACTTTAACTTTTCTATCGTCAACTTCCCTTACTTATGCAGCAATATACCTTCATCACCTGCATACAGAGTATATATATCTCAGTTGATTCGATACGCAAGAGCGTGCTTTACGTATGAGGAATTTCTTAAACGAGGTAAATTATTGACAAGCAAGTTGATGAAACAAGAATATCAACAGTCTCGTTTAAAGTCATCATTTCGTAAATTCTATGGTCGATACAATGACCTTGTCAGCAAATACAATTTATCATTGAATGAAATGCTGACTGACGTTTTTCATACCAATTGTTAGTCCATTATTTATACACTGAATTGACGACGGATTTTTTCCGTTATTTCCTGATTATGACAACGAGCACACGGCGGGTGTGACCGGTTCGGCAGGGGATGCTCACTCCTCCATGGCACCTGATCCCACCTCTGATGTTTCGGAGGTCCGTGTTTGCTCTGCTCTTATTTTGTATATTGTTTAATGGACGTTGAGAATGAATACTGTTCGTTATTTCCATATCCTTCTCAAAATAGTTCAAAATATTTAGGAATCGATATTTTCAAATCGAAATACGGCTTAATACTGATTTTAGATTTCAGAGAATTTCAATATTATTTCATCAACAAGAAAACAGAAATAGATATTTCTGGAACTAAATACATGTAAGACTAATTTATCATTTTAGATTATAAATAATTAAGCAATTCTCCGATTAAATAAAAAACGGATTTTTTTCGTACTATCAAAAGATGTTCATGTAGGTGGACCGTAAATTTTGACTAAATTGAATTTCATAAAATGCAGAAAGGGGGATACGATCGAAAACAAATGGCAATATGGAATGAATTATATTACGTTATATCCATATTTTACATTGATTCAATGTTTGTAAGTCTCTAAAATGAACTTGCCAATTAAATTATTAAACTTTTTCTATTGGCAGAAATTTTAAAAGTTAATTATAAAAGTAAGCACCAGAGATAAACCTTGATAAACAAAACCCCGAAAATCAAGTAGTGTGTATGTACATGTACATTCGCCGACAAAATGGGAACTGTTTATCTATTTGTAAAAATATTTATTTTCAATGTATTTAAAAATCTTAAAGATATATTGACCACAATTAGTAGTAAACAAGATTGAACATCCGAGAAAAAAAGTGAAACATCTTAGTACGGTTTATCACAATAGATCACGCTACTTAACCAGAACATAATATTGAACGACTTTAAGTAACTATATTGCTTGTTTACAAGCGATAATTGATTCTTTCTGCATTCAATTATATAACTTACACTTCATTTATTTTATTTGGATTTTTTAAAAAGACAAACGAAATTTTTGTCTAACAAATAATATTCCGATAAAAACTTACAAAACGAAATTTACACTTTTCTAAACGTACGATAACGCACGATTAAAACCGCAAACGATTGAGTCTGATACACGCACGATCTCGCACGTTACACGAACGATCACACACGATACATGAACGATTCTACACGATTGGTTTGTCAACAATAACGTTGCAGCCACCGTACCCACGACCACCGTGACGCGGGCTTCGGATTTAAAGGTTTCCTTACTCTTTACTTTCCTTATCAAATTAATAATGTTCCTAAGACTGTAAAATCAAACTAGGCCTTACTTAATTTAACCGAGAAAGAAAAAGACGACTTATATTAAAACTCTACAAAGAATATTTTAAAATCATTAATTAATGATAAAGTTCATATCCAAAAAGTGGATAAGGGGCAATTAAGTCAAAATGTCTAAAAATGACACAGTAAGTAACAAAATATTTGAAATACCTGAAAGACTGTCTTCAACCGCGTAAACATTCAACAAGTTATGGTGATTCCTGGTTTTAAAATGCTGGTATATTTTGAATATTCTAATCCACATAATTTGTAGCCAATGGCATTCAAGGATGATATCGTTACGTAATAGGAATATTAAAACCCCTCCTAGTTTCTACCTTAGTTTAGACCAACTCAAAAAATCACTTAGGTTTCAGAAAAACTGGGCTCCCGCAAATGTCGAATCATAGTCAAATAGAGAAGATGTCACTGAAAGACGACCAAGTGAATGAAGAAGAGGAGGATATAGTGAACCCATGGGAAGTCTCCACACACTCTGCTAAAGGCGTGGACTACGATAAACTCATTAGTAAGACCACAGAATTAAATTGTATTTTACTTCTCATTTTATTCCCGTATTTGATTTTTTTTTGTTTTACTGAAAATATTTAATATAAGGATTGTCTACTTTCGATTTGTTCAAAATGTCACATTGACTTTTTTCCCTTGAAATCGTAGGGAAGTTTGGAAGCACTAAAATAGATCATGCTTTGATAAAGAGAATAGAGAATTTGACTGGAAGACCTGTCCATCATCTTCTCAGAAGGGGTATTTTCTTCTCTCAAAGGTAGGCTAAATAAATAACCTTGTTTGAGCATACAAAAATAATTTAAAGTTATATGAATCTCACATTGAAGTTTAGTTGTCCCGAGCACACCGACCTGTATCAAAATTTGTCGGTTTTATAATATATGTTAAAACACCGGTCGGAGGTTGTCTTGAGTCTTTTTACTTTGTTTAAAAAGATCCATGTCTATATAGAAAGAAAAGCATATCGTGGCAGACAGAACTCGTGAGCGCAGTCGTCTTTAAACTTTTTGTAAGCGTGCAATAAGACGTTCACATTTTCTAGTCGCGTCTTATGGCACAGCCCATGTATGGATGGAGTTGAAATTAAAAATATGCTGATTATTGTCATATCCAAATTTTGATTGAAAAATTTCAATTTTTGGACAAGAAACAAGGAAATAGTTGCTTTCTCTTGATGTTACTATTTGGTGTTGACACTAGCAAAACCTTGATAAATTAATTCAATTGCAATTTTTTTTAATAAACGTATTTAAAAATTAATGCACTGTAAAGACAATTTATATAATTAGAAAAAAATAAGTACTGGAAAGAGTTTATGTGTATTTTGCAAAGGATACTTAACATCACCTTTTAAATCCAGCGAAAAATACCGTTTATATGTGTCTTAAATTGTAAGAATACGTGTACATCAGCTCTAAGCACTTTGACACTTTTTTCCCTCAGGGATTTGGAGATGATCTTGAACGTGTACGAGCAGAAGAAGCCTTTCTACTTATACACTGGTCGAGGACCGTCGTCAGAGGCAATGCACATGGGACATCTCATTCCTTTCATTTTTACTAAGTATATTTTAAATTAGTCCGAACTGTCATACCAAAGTAAAAAGGAAATCAAATTGTGAAGAATTTATTACATTGAAATGTTGATGTTCAAAAAACGAGTGATAATATATGAAATATCTAAAAGTTAACTATAAATTTTTTAATTTTGTGCACCAAGGTGGCTGCAAGATACATTTGACGTGCCTCTGGTCATTCAACTTACTGATGATGAAAAGTTTCTGTGGAAAGACCTGACATTGGAGCAGACCAACCATTTAGCGTTTGAAAATGCTAAAGATATTATCGCATGCGGTTTTGACGTGGAAAAGACCTTCATCTTTAGTGATCTTGATTTCTTAACGTATGCAAAATTTTATAATCTCTGGGGAAAATATGTTACTAATATGTCCTTTTACTGCTTTCTACAGTTAAATTTCTACAAATCTAAATTTCATGCAATTTAAACTTGAAAACATTACCAATATCATAAAAATGGATATGACAATGCAATTGACTTTTCAGAAAGGAAAAAAAAACTAACATAAATCAGTGGAGGCTGGAGGTATCTTAGAAAGATATCGCCTTAAAAATGTCAAACTTTAACTATTTAAAATAACCTTAGTAAACTCAAATTAATTGATTATTTCTTCTCAATAGGAACAGTCCAGCGTTTTACAGAACGATTTGCAGAATTCAGAAACTAGTGACCTACAACCAAGTGAAGGGGATCTTTGGATTTACGGATAGTGACAGTATCGGGAAAATAAGCTTCCCGGCTATTCAGGCTGCTCCAAGCTTCAGTTGTATGTTTCCGGAAATATTTAATGGAAGATCTGATATCCCATGCCTCATTCCATGTGCAATAGATCAGGTAAAAGAATAATTAATGTTAATGTCATATCTGATAAATAACTTTTTTACAAAACAGATTTACAGTTTTAGAAAAAGATGTACACGATTTTCTACAGTTGAGAAAAAGGTCGTATAATTAAACATTCCTTCTTGGTCTTTATGTCTATGCAAATGAAAAATATTATCAATTAACAAAATATATTGAATGATAGCCTAAAACAGGTACAAATTCTGTTTTTGAAGGATCCTTATTTCCGGATGACTAGAGACGTAGCTCCGAGGATGGGCTGTTTAAAACCTGCCCTCATTCATTCTACGTTTTTCCCAGCTTTGCAAGGAGCTCAGACTAAAATGAGCGCAAGCGACCCCAATTCCTCAATATTTGTCACAGACACAGATCAGGAAATAAAAGACAAGGTATGTCTGCTTAATTAATTAGTTTTTTGCTCATTGTGCAGCACGTAGTTAATTTTGCATCTGTGACGAATTTTGTTCAATGTTTTTATCACTCATTTAACAAGAGATGTTTGTAAAACACTCCTCCCCTAAATAATTGGAAATTTTCTAATCGAAGGGTCATAACTCTGTCCAAAATGGCTGGATTTTACCCAAAACAGAAACTTTACCCTGATATTCTTATGATAAATCTGTATACTTAATTTCAACCTCTGGAAAGAAAATGAACAAAATCTGCAAATTAGTAGAATTTTTCTTAGTCAAGGTGGCATTACTCTGTCCAAAATTACCCAATCATATCCAAAACAAAACTAGTCCTAGATATTCTTATGATAAATCTGTATACCAAATTTCATTTCAATATGTGCTAACTCTGCTAAGAAAATGAACGGAATCTGATGGTTGATCGACAGACAGACCGACCGACGACCTAACGACAGACTGACCGACCGACAGCAGCTAAGCAATTTACCCCTCACTTCTTGGGGGGCATGATAATGAAGACATCTTGTTCAAGCTGAAATAAATAAGAGAAGACATTTCTTTTCAATTCAGATTAACAAGTATGCCTTTTCTGGAGGTGGCGCCACTGTAGAGGAACATAAAACCAAGGGAGGGAACTGTGAAGTAGACGTTTCATATCAGTATCTTACTTTCTTTATGGAGGATGACCAGCGACTGGAAGAAATCCGCATGGTAACTTCTAGAACTTTCTTAAACGCCTGAAATAAAATTTATATTCCTTACTATTTATAACACGGATAGTATTCTCAGTCCGTGTTATATATGAAAAAACTGCATCTAAATCATATATCTATCTTTAACAGGCTTATACGAGCGGTGAATTAATGACGGGGTCTTTGAAGAAAGAACTGATAGATATTTTACAGAAAATGGTCGGTGAGCATCGTCAAAGGAGGGAAGCTGTTACCGACGAAATCGTCAGGCAATTCATGAAACCAAGAAAACTTAAATATGACTATCCTGCTCTATAACAGGTTCTCCGTAAACAAGTACACCGTGGAATGCTTCTGAATATTTTCTTTTATTGACTATTGAATTGTTTAATATTGAAAAATTGAATATGTTGATTCTGAGAAGAAAAATATTGTAAATGATTTTATCTAATAAAGTGATTCTCTCTAGTTAGAAAAACATACAGACCATCCACCACAATTTGATTGCTGATATACAGTGCTATATGAAGCTAACAGTAATCATGGCTAAAAGGTCCATTGAATGCATAGAAATTGGGAGCAAAACAAACATGACTATTTGTATCGAATCAACGGGGGGTGATGAACTTCAAATACAGATGAAAAGGGTAAAATTAAGTTAAGAAGTTGCTGACTCCAAATTGTTTAAAAAGAATAGATGATTACTGATACTAATGATTACACCTTACACTGTAATAGACTAAAACTGATTACAAAATACTACTAAATGAAAATACATGTTGAAATGCTTTACTATGAAAAAAAGACGTTGGCATGGATAAAGTGTATCTGATCTATGTTATAATCGCGCATTAAAATACTGAAGACCAAAATATAAACCATCTATCATTCTGAATTCAATAATCTAGAAGTGAAAAAAGAACTCTGAAATTTACTTACCTTAATTGTTATTAATCATTTGCAATATTAATTTGTTAAAAAACATTCAAATTGCACATACATGTACTCTGAAATTTACATCAAAAAGATACTCGCCTTTCTGATTGACAATAATTATCTATGTGGTTTTTGGAGATCGGGTCTTCCAACACGTCTGGAATTGCCATGGTGGCCAATTACTCCCTTTATTAGTAGACCATTTTTTTATTAATATGAAACAGACGTTTTTGAAATCTCATACGTGAAAAGAAGAAAGCACTTGCTGTACATGGACTTTGTCTACTTCTGAAAATCAAACAATATGATCATAACCAATGCTGCTGGATATTGAGTGACGTTTTAGGAATACGCATGATAACGATGACGTCTTTTAAAGACTATTTTTTGTTTTCATTCACTTCAGTAAAAATCGGAGGTTTTGGGTTTTTTTTAAAATAGTTTTTTAAATCACTTTTGCATAAATGAATACTAAAGAAATATAGTTCTTATATATATTATCCATATGCTTCATTCTGAATTATTAACGACCTAGGTAAAATATTGCAGTTTTTAAAAAAAATAACAAACAAAATTTAGAAGATTTTTTTCCTGCAATGAAATAATTCTAAAAGAAATATAATAAAAGATTTCAACAAAAACGATTTCGAAATTCAGGTAAGCAATACATAGGGCAAAAGACAGCCTTCTGGTAGATCCACAGTTGGGATCATTCAGACAACTATCGGTTGGTAACTCCTGCAGCGACCCTTAAGTTTCGGTCAGGAATTCGAAGACGGAGTAATCCGTTGCCATATTGATTTGAAACAATGTTCTAACTACTGGTGTGGAAGTCGTTGGTCAAAATACTATCCATTCGTATGAATATTTGAAATTTATTTTCATTTGCGTAACAGAGTGGTCGTTGTATCTGGTCAATGCTTAAAATTGAGCGCTGTAAACAGTTTGGTTTGGCTGTGAAAATCATCCTAAATTAAGGGGCTAGAGGAGATTTTAAGAACGTAAAAAAAAATTTATACTTCCTTCGGATTTTTTCTTAGACCTTTTAAGGCATGCATACACTTAAAAAAAAACTATATATCCACTGAAAAAGACGTATTTGCAGGGATTAGGTTTCCGAAAGTAATATTATTTACTACCTGAATTCCAGTTTAATTATGTATCCGCTGAAAATGAAGCATGTCTGCAGGTGTTAGGTTTCCGAAAGTAAATTGACTGAACTCAAATTTAGGTATAAAAAGACATTTTGTATTCGCCGAAAATGACGCATATTTGCAGGGATTAGGTTTCCGAAACTGAAACAACTGACTGAATTCCAATTATGTATAGAAAGACAAACATTACACGAAAAACGCAATACCGGAGACTGAAAAATGGTCTCTGACCTTGCTTGTTAGATCTTGTTCTCATTATGGAGACAGATAAAACCTGGTATCACAAAAATTCCATAAAACTAATTCCCAGCACTAAATTACATTATCTTACACCAAGTCTCAGCGTCTATTTGGAAATAAACACATTTTATAAATCATCAACTTTGAATTTTTGTGCACTTTTGACAGAAAATCCCATTCTTTGTAATAAAAATCTATCAAATGCAAATATCTTAAAATTCTTTTCAGTTAAGAATTTTATTTAATATCTTTTAGAATATATTTTATTTTGAATGGTTATTGGGGAATTTTCCACTCAAAATTCTAGGTTTTCTCGGCAATCTGAGGTAAAATCATTTTTTTTTGTTACTTGTAAATATTTGTTCTTTTTAAGCACTGAAATTTATATCATTAGATGTATGATGCATAATTTTAATTACAAAATTTTGAAAAGGTTCATTTAAAAAAATATGGGAAAATTGAAGAAAAGTTTAGAGGGTGAAATAAATTTCTATCAGTAAAAAGTATTACTTGTATCTAATTCGCTTGTGATTTAAAAATAGGTTTCTTTTCAAAGACGGCGCAATTCTCTGTCCATTGACTAGTGCATCAAAGTGCATATAAGTTATCACCAACTGCATATTTGTAAGAGGGCTTCCTTTTGAAGATTCTTGAATCAATTCATGTAAGGTCAGAGTAAATATCCAGAGCATTTTATATGATCTCGTTAATACATTTTTTTTTCGTTCTTAAAGTAATCGTTACTCAATACTTTCTTCTAATTTTTAATACTGCAAATGTGAGATCTCTATGGATCGCCGTCACTGCCTTATAGCAGAACACTACTACTGTATTGTGTCAACCTTCCATTACATTATGTCAACTCTTTATGACATTAACCCACACTACTATTGCATTGTGTCAACCTTCCATTACATTATGTCAACTCTTTATGACATTAATCCACACCACTATTGCATTGTGTCAACCTTCCATTACATTATGACAAGTCTTTATGACATTAACCCACACTACTATTGCATCGTGTTAACTTTCCTTTACATTATGTCAACTCTTTATGACATTTACACATACTACAATTATATTTCGTCAACTTGCATTTCGTTATGTTTACTTTTCATGAGATCTTAGTTTTTATTAACTGATGTGAAAAGCTTATGCCATACTGTCTGCACTCTTCTACATCATGTCGATTCACTATTACGTTATGCGAACACGGGTATCCTCGGCCTTTACATGAGCATAACGTATTTTCCGCGTTCCGCAAGCACTAAAAATGGCGGGAGAGAAAACTGTCGTAGAAGAGATTCTCGGCGATTTGGGAATGGCATCTTTAAATGAAAACTGTAAGCGACAAAATTGACAATCTTGAAACGTGCAAAGCCTTAACACTGCGACTGTGAATTAAAGTCACGTCGAAATTCAAAGGTGTTTACTTTAATGTCATAATTAGATAAATCAAATATTATGAGTAGTGCAGCAATCATTTTTTTCTTTTTATTTTGATTGTTTTTTTAATAAAAGTCTTAAACTTTGAAGGACATTGCATTAGTTTCACAATAAGCTTTGCTGAATTAAGTTGAACACTTTTTTTTATAAAACTATAGAGCCTGAAAGCTTCTCCGCTTTCCGCCCTTGGTCTTCAACCATATACCGTCCCCCTTGTTCAAGATTCCAATATCTGCCACTGATATGTGCCTATGCATGCTTACTAAGGCATATTCAATTGATTTAGATATGCGATTGGTAGATTTTTGTAATAGAATTCTTGCCCTAGAATGATTAAAAAAAATTACTAACTCCAGTGACGTAGCATCTTTTTTTGAAAGAGGAGGTCAGCCAGAAAAAAAACCTTTACCCGAGAAAACTTGACAAACCAAGAAAAAAAAAAGTCCAAGCCCGAAAATCCTATTTCGGGGAGAGGGGTCCAACTTCGATCAGTCCCATTTTTCCTCAGATATATTACATTACCCTTAGTGGACTATACTTCAACAAGAAGTGGGGGTGGGGGCTGTACAGTTTCAATGAACATTACATTTTCTATAGTAAAGTTATGTCTGGGAAAAGAGGGGGGTTGATAATATATGCCTGTAATTTGTCCTAATCAATCAGCCCCCCCCCCCCCCCCCCCCTCTTCTTACCAGTCATTAAATCACGGTCGTCAACATTCATTATATACTAGATATACAGCTTTGAGATAATGTAAATGTTTTTTAACATCAGGTAATGAACTTTTGGAATCAACATGATAAAGAGTTAACACAATATAAAGATATTTTTAAATCACATAAGAAAGAGTTGACATAACGTAATTATATATACACATCAGGTAATGGAGTTTTGACATAATGTAATAAAGTATTGATATAATATAAAGATATGTTCACATTATGTTATACACTGTTTACACCACGTAATAAAGCACTGACATAAAGGTAAGATGTGTTCACCTCATATCATGATGCCCTCACCGTAAAATAAAGATAAATTCATATCACGTAACAATACTTTGACATAATAGAAATATACACTCTCAAAAATGAATGGGCTTTTGACTTCGTGTAATGATAAGTTTAATTATAAAACACAATTTACTTGACGTAATGCAATTTTGACCTCACATATTAAAGAAATGAATTGATGTAAAGAAAAATTCATTTCATGCAATAAAGTTTTAACACAATGTAAACACATTATCACTTCACATAATGAATTTTTTACTTCAAGTTATGAAGTGCTGACATAATGAAAGAATGTATTTACTTCATGTAATGCAGCATTGACATGATGTAAAGATATTTTTACATAATCTCATTAAAAATTGACATAACGTTAAGATATGTTCACCTCACGTAATGATTAATTGACGTAATAAATGCAGAGTTGTATGCTATAAGGCAGTGATGGCGTTCCATAGATCTCTTACAGTTTTCTTCCAAGCTAGGCCTGGCTTCTGTCATCGATAGTGTTGGTAGCCATTTAAAAAAATATCAGTTAATTTATATTTTATCAGGGGGTGATATTTAAAAGCAAATTTTTATATGAAATCAAGCACTATATATTTCATCTTTTATTTGGTCAATGATTTTGTCCGCTGTCGTGCGTTGTGCGATGTTTGTAAATACTTGAACATTTTCA